GGCATAGGTTTGTGGTGTAACAATCAAATGAATATAATTAGATAGTAGATATACCTTACATCTTATATATTTAAATTCTACAAGGATGTTCAAATCCCCGGAAGTCTCTTGCTCTCTTTTCCTCCTCCCAGCTATAGTACCCCATCAGTCTTATATCTAAAAACAACCCAATCTTCTTTCCTATTATACCGCTTTCTGCTCTTTTCCCATTCCTAGTTTACTTTCACTTGGATAAACTTCGTCCCTGTACACTTCATCATAGTTTGAAGGTTTTTAAGTATATTATATTGGGTCTTGTGATAAAATTATCTCAATGGTATGACCACCTGATTGTTAAAGATCTGTACGTATTATTTGTGAACTGGGAAATTGCCCCATCGGAGGTGAAACTCCCACTATAAATTGGATAATCAGTTCACGACTCCAATGCTGTACTCGAGGAAAGAGTTCCATTTTCAGATGCCTTATTTTGAATAAGATGTTACCCTTAGGCCCTGTTTGTCTGATCAAGTGAACATTCATTTATCGTATTCAAAATAAATTCTCAGTGTCCCTATCAACTCTCTTCTAAATTAAGTGGTCATTCATCTAATGCTTGTTGGACCTTACTGGTGTAAATTGATGTCATATTTGCCTATAAAACAGAAACTGTTCTTATATAATAATCCTTGCATTTGATATATCTTCTAGATGTCTCAAAGTGCTTCACAGATTATACTGTAAAGAGAATTGATTGTATATTTGTGGGTGAAACGCGGCAGCCAATTGTGTCCCACAAACGGTCTTGGATTGAGTGACCAAAGTATTATTTTTTTTCTTGAGGTATTATTTTTAGGCATGTGGAGTAAGGAAACTCGCCCAAGGTTTCGCCCTGGCAGGAAACAAACCCAGGCCTCTCGCTTGTGAGGCGAGCACTCTAACCACTGAGGTACAGGACTCCACAATTGACAGTTTAGTGTGAAATCCTTCAAGATGTTTTGATGAGGCAAGACACTATAAAAATGAAAGTTCATACTATGAATAGGAGCCATACCACAACACCAAACCCTCTTTTGTCCTAGTTCCCCTCATGACTATCCTTCGTTTTCTTCTTTTTAGCTAATCTAAATCTACACCTTTACTCTCAGTACCCAGTGGCATCAACCTGTGAAGGAGTCCCTCTTCCAGTACTTTGACAAAGGCCTTTTGGAAGTGTCAGTGCACTATTTCTTAAGACTTCTCTGTCAAATTGGGATGTTACATATTCAAAAGTCCATGAGGTTGGTCAAGCAAGATCTACCTCTCTGAAGCAGTGTTAATTTTCATTTTAGGTTATTTTCATGAAGGCAATTTTCTGTTTTGCTTTTCTAATTATTGATGCTAGCCTACTGGGTCTTTAGTTGCTGGGTATGGCCTGGTCACCTTAATTACAGGAGCACATTTGCTTATTTTCAGTCAATTGGAACTTCCCCATTGTTTTAAGACATCTTTAAAATGTCTGTCACTGTATCCAGTGGTACAATTTATCTATTCTAATATCAGAGTTAATTTTCTCTGACTGGAAAAAATATAGCACGGTTGCCAATTTGTTGAAAAGAGGCCTGAAAATTCTCAGGAATTTAGCCTCAAGTCTACATCCTTAAAATTTAAAACAGTGCAGAACAAAATTTTGGAAAATTCAATTTGAACGACAGTTCCTCAAATGAAGATCTTTCCAAAATTTTGCATGATCTTACATTTTAAGGCAAAGGTCTTGAGACTAAGAATTTGAGTATTTTCAGGCCTCAGGGTTCCAGCAGTATAGAAATGTCTATAACAAATTAAATAAAAAGTGATATTCTACTTAGCAGTTTCAGTGGCTGCACACCAACAAAAACATTTTAAACATTTGGAAGCCAAATAAGTTAGGTAAAATTCTGTTTTCTGAAGTATCTGTTTTTCCAGACAAGGGGATATTTAGTCTTGCTAAGAATAGGTAGTAAACTTTAGATCTGTGCGCAAAATGGTGCAGCTCTTGGCAGGGTCCTTTGAGAATTTAATGGCAGCAGCTAATCATTCCAAATCTTAGCTGCTTGAGAAGAATTCAATGGTTGTTACTGTGTTACTGTATGCAATTTTTGAGAACACCAAAATAAAAGCAAAGGCATTGTATTAATGACCTTTATTTGTTGAGATACGGTGCATACAACAGAACCATCTATATCAGCAATAATATGTTTTAAAAATCATGCTATGACAATTTTGATGAGCAACTCACTATACCCACCCTTCTATTGTTTATCATGTTCAGTATCTCCATCTGTAGATTACACCGATTAAAATAATTAGCATTTATTATAGTGCAATAATAATTCAATAAATAATTCAAGTTTAACAATTATTTTAGTGATGATGTTGTCCATGAGAGATGGTGATACATATGACGGCAGAGATATACATATTGCAGGTATGGGCAAACAAAGAAACACTGCCATACAGATCAGATTGCCTCACAAAGTGCATCTGTGGTGTAATGGGGAAATAGAGTTATTGTGATTAGACTATATTCATGAAAAACATCTTCTGCTTCAAATGGTTTCTTTATTTTGAAAGTCCCTATTTTCAGATGAATTCTGCTGGAGAAACAATAATCTATTCCTGGAGATGATTGGGATTTTGTCTATTATGAATGCATTCATTTACTTTATGTCCCCATTTGTCAAGTTATAAGTGTTATAAAAACAATTCTCTCTACAATAATTTTGCGCTGAAAGAAACACATGCAGCCCAGCCCAATTTCAGTGAATAAAATTCAACGTAAACAACTTTAAAATAATCAAATCACAGGCTATATTCAAACACAAAGCTTATAGTGCACAGTACAATATTAACTGGACAGTTATTGGATGCCAAACAAGCAGTAACCTCTCATCATGAGGAGCCTTGAACTTCTTAAAACATTACTACAGAATCTCTAGCATTTCACTATAAAAAACATCTGTTATGTGTTCCTTTCCTTTCATCATTCCTGTTTGGCAGTAAGAAGGGATGTGTGTGTTTGGGGCGGTGGGAGAAGGTTAGAGAGGGGTACCTGACAAACTAGGATGGGTATATAGAGTTATCACGGATAATGTGCCTGACATCCCACACCCCCTATATTCTCTATATGTATGAATTACTTTGTTTGCTTGCTCATCACAAGCCTCAACTTTATCCTGTAAAAAAACAAGGACAGCCATGGCAGTATTAGGCTATCAGGGAGGAAAAAAGCATTTTGTTTGTCAATTGAAATAATTTACCTCCAGGTTTAATTCAATTTAAGTGATGGGGGTAGAAGTGGAGACAAACATTTTCTCCACAAAAATCATAGATGGGTTTCACTGTTGCTAAAGAGTACAGCTATACTATCTTCAATAGCATTAAACAGTCGCTCATATTGTACAGGCAGTAGGGATGAGACAGACTGGTTGAAACAGAATTAATTCTGAACACACAAAAAAAACTAGAACTAGACAAAAACAAACTGGAATGAATAACAAACCTAGAAGATGAAGAGAAACAATATAAATAAATCAAACGTATAAGACATGAGTAGAGCAAGAAAGTTTTAAAAAAGTGAAAGATTGACAAAGAAAGTACTTCACACATTAGGTTGCAATGCTCAACAATGTACCTAAATCCTAGCAAAAACCTATAACCAGAAGATTTAACTCAAAACACTGTCTACAATCTCTGGAGCAAAGTTTTACAAAGTAATTTGATATGACACTTCTGGCACTTTAAATGAAAGAAATAGGAATTGCACAGCAAAATACATATTGGGAGTTCATTCATAAATATGAAAAAGCATAATACGACTTTTTTTTGCAAGTGAAAGCACCCACGTCTGGTGGAGTATTAATTGGAGCCAACATTTCACTGCCCTAGAACACTTATACAACAAATTAAAGATATGGGAGCATTTAAGTTTACTTGTCAGATAGAAACCTGCAGTGAAATAGACTGATCATAAAATAAAGTTAAAATAATCTTTTAAGTTATTAGCGGAGGTTTTCCCTTCAGCAATAATGAAGAAAATAGCTTTGATGCTAAATTGGATAATTAGCTTTTGAAAGGCTATGAGAACGAATGCAACTAATACCAATAAAATACAACCAAGAAGGAATGCTAAGGCAGGAAAATGAAGTGTGCCCACACGCTTTTAAAATTCATAGCACTCAGCATTACTAATCATTTGTCAGGATAGAAATTGCTCACAATCTAACATTTTAGGAAGCCTCAACCATGAAGCTGAAATATTCCACAAGACAAAGAAAGTTACAATGGCTAATGGGCATATTGCTTTTCTTGTTTAATTTAAATTCATTTCATGATTTATAATGAAATTCACATGTGTAAATACGTAAGATATGCATCACTATGCATATGCAGTAATTTAGAACAGTATTGGCTGTATGCTAATACTGACAGGCTACAAGCAATGCTTGGTTGTCCTGAATCACGACATTTCTTACTGACAAGTATACCCATAAACATTTAACTAGATGCAAGAACTTTCAGAAACCTAGATTAGCCAAGGCACAATTGAACAACTGCCACACACATTATTAGAACTGTTCCATTCTTTAGGAATACATCCTTCTTTCATAGGTGTAAAATATTATGTGAACTTTACAAGCTTTTATACAATTTGCTTCCTTAATGCACACTGTCCCAGACAGAATATACTGATAAGTTAACACCTTGCTACTTGACATTCTTACTTTCTGCAAATTGTTTAAAATATGCATACAATCCAGAGCTTTGTAAAATATAAGTACAGTAATGACAGTTTACCAAACTCATCCTGTATTAAGCCTTAACAGTTTTGTCAAGGTGCTTGAAAACTGAGGCTAATTAACGATCACAGAGTTAACAGTAATACAATTGTGAGACAGCGGTGTCAATCTACACATAAATGTCTGATGCATCCTTGGTAAACATGTTTGTTTAAAATATGTAAGAATGTAAAGAACCACATTACTGTCTTCAGTTATACTTACCCTGATAATTTTACAGTGGTTGGTGTAGGACTAGGTCCGGTTGATATTGTGGAAATTACACTATTCTTCTTTGTAGATAGATCAAGCACTCCATCTGCTAATACATAAAAATCTTGGGATTAATGATTTTGAAAATTTTTAAAGCAATTAAAATTCATGTAGATTAAATTGGCAAATTTATACCAGAGATACATTTTCACGTCAATAAATTATCAATAACTCAAATTTTGCCCACAAAATACACAAACCACTTTACAATACATCCTATGAAGTACTTTGAGGCATCTCAAAGATGTGATAAGGCATTATGTCAAATCCAAGGATTATTTAATATTCTTCAAAAGTTTTGTAAGTTATTTTCTCTCTACTGAGGTCTGTTTTTCACTTTAACTTTCTGTATTCTCTCCCCACCACCACCAATCCACTGCTCTCTCTTATGTATGTGGGTTGTGTAAGAACTCGACCATTGGTTAGATATTATACCAGAGTGAAGTTCCTGGGTCAGCTCTATACCTGTAGGGACTACAAATAGGCCTCTATGAACCTGCTTCTAGAAGTTTACCCATCATTAAATCTGGTGTGGGCAACTGTATCAGATGTTCCAGTTGTTAATATCTGCAATAAATCCATGCTTTTGTAACATGCTGGTTCCTGATCCTTCCTCTAATTCACTACTTGAGGTTGCCAGATCTCCAGAACGTTGCACTCCTACTCCTTCATTTCACCATCAATTTATCCACACTTTCACCACCTCAAGACTGGACTTCAATTCTCTCCTCACAAACTTTCCTATCTTGTAGGGAAATCCCTAGCTAAGTTGTAGCTCATACAACTTATGAGTCTGCAGCATATCCCTTTTCCAACTTCAGTCTCTGCGTCCATTATGATCACCCCCGCCAAACTCCACATGTTCTAGAGCAGGGTGGTCCAACTGATCGTTTACAAAGCTTAGAATACAGATGTTCTTAACCTGCATCTGCGATATAATCTTATTGCGCTCCAGGTGCAGATGTCCTGACTTTTTCTTTCACACCAGTCTTGGACACTGAGGTCAATTGGCTGTGCCCTGATTCACCATCAAACTACCGTAACTAATGCAGCACAAAGTATTAAAAATGTATCTTTCTGTGTCTCACTATCATAAGACACATTACATTTGCCCATGATTCTTAATTTTCATTATTTCTCTAGCATTATAAACTGTTCAAGTAAAATTTTCTAGCTTGCCTTGTTCTGCCTCAAATAAATTATGCTGTTGCAAACCAACAGACACAGAATTGTCACTAATGCTAAATCAAAAAAATGTGAACTATTTGTGGCTCCGATGGCTAATTAAAATCTCTAATTTCAGTTGCAAGATAATCTGGCATTCCTGAATTTAGGTTTAGGGCACAATATCTCAAGATCACAGGCCTGTTACAGCAGGATATAGTTACAACAGACTTGCATTTTATTTCTAGATTTAAAATTACTTGGTCTGTTCAAAATGTAAATTTGGTTGAATTGACCAAAACCCATTTCAGATCTATCTTCTAATCGACCAATAAAGAGATGAGGAATAACAGGAAATCATATGCTAACAGAACAAAGTTTACAATTTAAGCATTCTGTGTTAGTTTACAATTACAGGGCAACAGAATAACTTCCCAGCAAGCAGACCTATGCAATCTTTGACATTACTGTAGCAAAACAAGTCCACTGAACAGGAAGGGGTGTAGTGCTACTTTATGTCAACAAACTAAAAGGAAGTTTTAACTGAAAATATTAAACAATTTAATTAAATTGTGAAAGAGCACATTGTTATTATGTTCAACATTTTCTCTCATTCTGTTGTATGTAATTCTTAAGATAGTAATCGGTTTGATTGAACACAAGGTGGCAGTACATGCTTTTGCTAACTGCAGTATATAAGTGAACATACACCCCGAAGCCCTCACACCAGCTCCGATTTCTGCAACCTCCCTGGACTATCAAACTTACCAAACCTGTGTACAACCTGAGTCTGATTTGATCACCACTTTTCCTTTCTACCACACATTTAGTTCCTGACCAGGACTACTTTTCTCCACCTCTGCTGGACTGCCTCCAACACTCTCACCCCAAAGTCACTGAAACCCTCACCTTTGTCACCTCCTGCCTTGATTCCTCAAAAGCTGCTCTCGCCAGATCCACCTACTAAATTCCTTCGAAACTCCAAACTTGCCATTGTATACTTTTTTTTCTTTTGTTCAATAGTTTAATTTATTTGACCATAGATCACCAAAGTAAAACTTTTGCCTTTCTCGAGTACATACTAATCAAGTTTGAATAGATTTCACTCTTCTTACATCTTAGATAGATATTGTATTTTTGACCATCGCATGACAGGAAAAATATAAAAAGCAATAGGGAAAAAGACAAAAGTACATATGAAAGAAAGCAAAAAATTGAGAATAACATGCAAAAGGACAACAATTTACTTAATGTAAAATCTCCACCTGCTGTTCATAAAGAGTGACTTGCTGCTGTTATAGTTACTTGCCAGACTAATTCAGGACTATTTCAAGAACTGTAAAAGATTAGGAAGGACATGCATTAAGATTCTATATAAACCTAAAATGTTAATCAAAGGAATTCAAAAGAAAATTGGAGAGGTTCTTTTCATCAATGGTCATGGGATGGTTTTCATGTCATGCTTTTTTCCATTAAATTTAAATATTCCCCACTATATAGTCATATGCTAGAAATAGGTTTGCCATGCTTACAAAAGACTAATTCAAATTATTTACCAGTCATTTTCCTCAACTGTAGGTAAGGGAGGTAAATACAACCAGAGTATCACCATGCATTGCATAAGATACTTTCCTCAATCACATCCATCAAGCTGGAATGCAAATCATGTAGTGCATACTACATTTTAAAATCTGTTGAACCAAAGGAATCCTGCAGGACAATAAAAATCCTTATTCTTAAACTTATGACTGAAAATCATAATTTCTCCAAAAATTGAAACAGATTTTACTGATCTGTGGCTGCCAAACATAGGTGAAGATTTTTAAAGTATAGAAAATACAGAACCCTTAAGAGAAACCACAAGAAAGCTCAACCAAGTGGCTAGTGCCTTTCATGGATTATGATGTCTTGATAAAGGTTTTATAGAAGTTTTAATTTTAAAAGGCAATCTATCATATTAAATTTTTGAATAGGCTCTGTATAAATACAGCCTATAGATTTCTCCAGACTGAATATCTCATTTATGACGAGACCTGGTGGTGTAATGTGGATCATCATTCAAATCAGTTGTCCATACATCAATGAGAGAATTACACCACTTGGGTTAGGAAATTGCACATTATGTATAAAGACTGAAGAAGAACATTAAGAGTAATACCAAATAGTACAATAATGATTAGAGGATGGTTAAGGAAGAAGTGGGACTGCTGGGAGCTCAGGAAGGTAATGCGATAGCTGAGCATCAACAGCAGATAATTAAATATTTCGCCTTAGTGCTTATAGGAGGGTGGAAATAAATCAACCTCATTTGATGTCAAGATTTTTTTTGAATGAGATGTATCCAAGAAATCTGAGGGATGTCAATAAGTAAGAGATTGACAACATTTTTCAAATGTGTATACATATGGGAGCTGTCCTAGAGGATTGTCGTTTAAGGCAATAAACAATTGTTTAAGGAAAGGCGATGAGACTCTTGTTATTTATAAGGAAGCTAATTGCAGTCATAAGACTTCTTCGTGGAATAATTAGAAAAAATAGATCTGATAAGGAATACCAGTATGGATTTATAAAAGGAAGATCATGTTGGACTAATTTGAATTCTCTGAAAAAGTAAAGAATGTGGATAAGGGAGATTTGGATTTTAGGCAGGAGTTAGCTGAAGAAATGCAAGAGAAATTTCTGGAAAAATAAATCATATGAAATAGATGGAAAGGTGGCAAAGAAGATATCCATATAGTTGAATAACAGCTGGCAGTAAGTAGGAACGAAGGACCACCCCCCACCCCCAATTGGCAGAGAATCATTAGTGGTGTGCCACATTGGTGTTAGGACTCCTCAATATGAAGGGACCTTCTCCCGGTATCTGGCCAACTATTCCCCAAACAAAATGGGTCATTGCTCATCTTTATTGTGGAGTCCTGTAGCTCAGTGGTTAGAGCATTCGCCTCGCAAGCGAGAGACCTGGGTTCGATTCTCGGCAGGGCGAAATTTTGGGCACGTTTCCTTACTCCACATTCCTCTGTTTACCTAGCAGTAAGTAGGAACCCAGTTGTTAGTCGATCGGCGGATCGCTTTTCCGGGGATAATAATTTCTCCAAAAGAATAATAATAATAAATTGGTCATTTCAATCCATGACTGTTTGTGGGACATTACTGTGCACAATTCGCTGCCGTGTTTGGCCCAGTATATTCTGTGAAGCACTTTGAGACGTCTCGAAGACATGATAAAGTGCTATATCAAATGCAATTTTTATCTAATACAAGAACTACCACACATTTTACAGTAGGCTTGGGAAGGCACGGGAGTTTCAAAATATTAAGAATATCAATACTAGTGAAGCAAACTTAATTCCACTATGGTAACATGCGAAAAAGTTCAGAATTCCATGCAGCACAATTGTCAATGTCAATCTCTATAACTGGATTTCCCCGGTATAAATTGGGTACTGCATAGGTCACAAAAAGGCAGATTTCTTGGTCATTGGCTGGTCAAATAGAAAAGTGCGGCCGCAATATTCCCTCAGAATCAGCTAGAAACACCCCTCTCCGCTACAAACCTGTAGAAACGCAGTATGCTCGGTGCCCCAGGCCTCTGCACTCTACCGCTGTCTGTTTACACAATAACGCTACTGCGGGCAGGGCGGCTCTGGGCGAGCACGCACGGTGCAAGCGGGAAATGGGCTTTGCTCAGCCCGAGGCCCCACTGTTCAGATCATCTGTGTGTCTGCGAGTGTGTGCGTCTCTCCCCGTGTCTGTGAGTGTGTGCATCTCTCTCTCTCTGAGTGTGTGTGCATCCCTCTGTGTCGCTGTGCGGTTGCCGGCTCAGAGTAGGAGGTGGTGACCTCCTGGAGCCCTATAGTAGGTTGGCTGTAAAATGTACCTCTCAACAGCACAAACAAATTCCCTGCAATTTCCCACAAAATTTGTCAAATATTTCTGCAATTTTCTATTGGCCCTGGTCATTGGCATACAGTCGTCACCAACTGCATAATGCCCATAGACTGGTTTATACTCCACACAAGCCTCCATCCTTTCTATTCCACTCTACTATGTCCCTTTACAACAATAACAACAAATGTTCCTATCAGTAGGACATCCCAAGGTGCTGGACAGTCAGGGATTTGGACCGGAGCTAGGAGTTGGGATCAGGAGGGGTGGAGGGCAAGTAGGGTAGGGGTAGGAGGGTGACCAAAGGCGTGGTCGAAGAGGAGGGTCTTGAGATGGCCCTTCTCCTTCATGTATGCCCCTCTCCTATACCCCTCTATTCCCTTTTCCCTCGAGTATGCATCAAGTTTCAATGCATTGATCTTCTTTTGCTTCAAAACACAGCTTGCAGCATTAAGTTCTACATTCTCATCATCCTCTGTGTGAAGAAATTACTCCTAAACTTCCAGTAAATCTAGTATTAACCATCTTATTTATGTTCTCTTGTTTTGGACTCGACACCAAGTGGAAACAGCCCATCAACATCCAACTTATCGAATCCCTTGAAATCTTAAAACATCTCCATCAGGTTTCTTCTAATCGTCCCAGCTTTAGAGAGAAAAGCTCCAACTTTCCAATCTTTCTTGATAGTTGTATACTCTCATCACTGGTTACAACCTTGTACTATCTTCAATGCTGCAATATCAATCCTGTAATTTGGTGCCACAACTGTACACTGTTTTCCAAATATGTTATAACCAAAGTTTCAAATATAAATATTTATATAATTTATTAATTCCATACTTTTATATTCTATTCCTCTGGACATAAAGCCAAGGACTCTATGTTCATTATTTATGGCCTTGTCCACCTATGCTGCTACTTTGAGAGTCCTGTGAATTTGAATCTATAGATCCTTTTGTTCCTGTGCCCCTTAGGTTTATGCACATGCCAAACAATGGCTGACTTCCAAGTCATCAAATCCCAGTCAATATTTCTTACTGTATATTATGTACAGGATTCTTCCCATCCAAGTCAGCGATTTTTTTAAAACTCTTGGAAAGTTGACCAATTTATAAATAGGGCCTATTATGTGTTGTGTGTGAATGTTATTTTACCCAAACACCACAGAAGAGAACCCCATCATAAGGCACCCCATATATATTAAAAATACACAAATATGCGATAAAACAAGCAAATTTTAAAAGTTACCTTGTTGAACATTTTTCTGTTGATTTTTATTCACAGTGAGGTCTAATGGTCCATCCTGTTCCTGCTGAAAGGAGTTCTGGGTTTGGTTTGGAGGAGGATCATTCGGAACCAAAACTGGTGCAATGGATAATTCAGTCTGGTTTTCTTGAATGCGACTATTTCTTGATACATATTCAATTGCAAACTGGCGAATCATTCTTTTCATTATTTCCTGAGCAACTAGAGGAATGTTGCGATCACAGTTCTGAGGAAGGTCTGAAAATGGTTTTAAATTCAGAAATGTTTACAATTAAATTCGTAACACCAACTAATCCTGAATAAATTCTATTTTTACAGTTATAAGCCATGCAAATACATTAGTTTCATCTTTGCTTACATATCTATATTGAATTATGAGCCCATCATGCACCAATTACAAAAACAATAATACATTTGATTTAATCTAGCTATCCAATTTAATAATGAATTGCAAGCATGCTATAATATTGCTCAGCTTGTCCAGATGCTACAAAGACCAATGGTAGAGCACCAGCAATGATCAACTTCACGCAAATTTCAATAAGCTTAAATAACTTTTAAAGTCCAACAGTGTACAAATACAGCTGTGGAGTACAAGCATAAGAGAAAGGGTGGTTCAGAATAAATTCAGGAATTGTATGAGAAAATTGGAGGAGAGCAAAAGTAACCTCACCATTCAATAGAGGAAGTGTAGGCCTGTACTTGTAGTGAGTACAGTAGTCAGCCTGGCTAAGATAGTAGCACTCTCGTCTCAGAAGATTGTGGGTTCAAGTCCCATGTTGGGATATTGAACTCAATCCAGAATGGGAGCACACTGCATTGTTGGAAGGGCCGTCCTTCAAATGAGGCATTAAACCAAGATCTTATCTGTCCGTTCAGGTGGACATTATAGATCCAAGGCACTATTCAAAAAAAGAAGTCAGTCCTAGTGTCCTGACCAACAATTCCCCAAACAATAAATGGTCAATCGCTTTATGACTGCTTGTGGGGCACTGCTGTGCACAAATTGGCTGTTTCTGGCTATAAAAATAGTCACTGTACTTCACAGTGAAAAGCTTTGTGAAAAGAGCTATGCCAAAGGCGAGAATTATTATTAATAGTAAACATCAGTGGTGGACAAATTGCTGGAATCTATCATCAAGCACAGAAACACTGAACGTTTTTTGACAGCTGAGCGCCAGTCACATCTAGAACATCACCATGCTTAAGAATATAGGAACCAGACAGTTCTACGTGTACTCGCAACCTACATATGGACATTTCCTTGTATTTGGAGTGGAATGTGAACGTAGGAAGGACACACCCTGCTGACCTAATTCCGGAAAGTACGTCACAGGTTGTTGAGAGGAAACGCTTGTGGAACCGCAAAATATATAAGAACATAAGAATAAGAAGCAGGAATAGGCCATTCGGCCCCTCGAGCCTGTGCCCCGCCATTCGATAAGATCATGGCTGATCTTCAGACCTAACTCTAATTACCTGCCCTATCCCCATATCCCCTAATCCCTGTTTTTTAAAAATCTATCAGTCTCAGCCTTGAAGATGTTCAAGGACTGAGCATCTACAGCCTTCTGGGGTCGTGAATTCCATAAATTCACTACCCTCTGAGTGAAGAAATGTTTCCTCAACTCTGTTCTAAAAGACTGACCCTTAATTTTAAGACTGTGACCCCTGGTTATAGATTCTCCTACCAGGGGAAACAGACCCTCAGTGGCTGCTTTATCAGCCCTTTAAGAATCTTACATGTTTCAATAAGATCTCCCCTAATTCTTCTGTACTCTAGAGAATACAGCCCTAGTTTATTCAGCCTATCCTCATAGGTCAGTCCCCTCATCCCAGGAACTAACCGAGTGAATCTACGCTGCACCCCCTCTAGGGCAAGTATGTCCTTTTTTAAATAAGGACACCAAAACTGCACACAATACTCCAGGTGCGGTCTCACCAAAGCCCTATACAGTTGCAGTAAGACTTCCCTACTCTTGTACTCTAAACCTTTTGCAATGAACGCTAACATGCCGTTCGCCTTCTTAGTTGCTTGCTGCACCTGCAAACTAACTTTTTGAGACTGGTGTACAAGGACACCCAAATCCCTCTGAACACTAATACTATCTAATCTCTCCCCCTCTAGAAAATAACCTTTTTTTCTATTTTTTCTACCTAGGTGAATAACTTCACACTTCCCCACATTAAATTCCATCTGCCACCTACTCGCTTACTCCCCTAGCGTATCTATATCCCATTGCAATCTTTTTGCATCATCCTCAGAGCTTACTCTCCCACCTAGTTTAGTGTCATCTGCGAATTTAGATATGTTACATTCAATGTCCTCATCTAGATCATTGATATAAATTGTAAATAGCTGAGGCCCAAGCACTGATCTTTATGGCAATCCACTAGTCACATCCTGCCAATTCGAGAATGACCTGTTTATCCCTACTCTCTATTTTCTACCCGTTAGCCACTCTTCAATCCACGCTATGTTGGGGTACTACAACAATTTAATCAGCTAAAGCAGGATAGCTTGCCATTGTAAGCACTGTCTGGTCAATTGCCTATTGCTTATCTAGCTAGGACATTTTACTGAACATCTAGCTGGATAAAGATGCACAAATCGGGCAAAGTCAAGTACATGATGTCTCACAAATCCAGGTTCTTTGACAGACCAAACATAGTGGTTAAAAGCAGATTGGTGGATGTCTTTTATATTGATTACATTAGAAGATTAGCAGCTAAATTTTAGGCCCAAGGAGTTAAAGGCAATAGGTGGGAGGTTGGTGGTAGAACATTGGTGTAAAAGGGATGTTTTCTGATGCCAGTGATAAGTGGTGTCCCTCAGGGAATGGTTTTGCGGGTCTTAGTTTTTATCCTATTATTATATTATAATGACCTGGATACAAAAAAGAGGGGAATATTTCTAAGTTTGCAGATAATACTGAGGTATAAGTTTGTGAAGAGACTAGGCGAAAAATACAGAGACCTATTAAGCCACTGCATTCATTTTGGTTGTATTGGGAATGAGAAAGGGCTACAGCTCAAAAATGTTTTGGAGATGGAGGATGGCAGACTTGATCAGAGACGATATCAAAAATGTAAAGGAGCTGTAATAGGCAAGGGGCAAACAAAGAGCCAAAATTTAGTATTGGCCCTGTAAATTGAAGTAAGCAATGGGGGAGGTCAATATAGTAGGTGAAAATAGGTTCAGGTTTGTCAAAATTTAGTCAAAGAAAATTAAGGTTCATCCAGAACTTGATGTCTGCAAGGAGTCTGTCAGAACAACAATGGTCCTGGATTCAAGGATGGAAGCAGAAAGGTAGTTTGGCATTATCCACATACACCATATCTGCGGATGATGTACCTGAGTACATGGAGGAAAAGAAGGGCCAAATACAAAGCTGAGGACACCGACAGGGCAGAGAGAGGAGTCGTTTGTAAAATAATGCTAGGTAGGAGTGGAATCAACTCAGCAACATACCACATTGCACTCAGAAAGTAAACCAGTAACCCCCACCCCATTAAAGCCACTGCCCAATCATAAAACAAAGCCACATTAATGAAAAAAGGTGCTCATTATTCTTGTATAATCTTTCTTCTTGGCTGAAAATCAGAGCCTGCTAAAAGCCTGCTTCTGGCTCTTATGCTCCACCTTCACCGGCTTCTAGTATTACAGTTCCTCATCCTCATGCCCCATGAATTGCTTTGTTTTGCAAACCAGTGCACTATTATTTGTGCTGCCTTTATGAGGGTAGAGCAAGGCATCCCAAGAGGATTCTAAACATTGAAATCTTTGCTTAAATACATCAAACATTTTTTAATTTAAAAACTATGTGCTGATTGTAATAGATTTTAGAGCATATTCTGGGATGATTTAAGGAAAGGGAAGCTGGCATGAGCCAAGGAGCACTGCACACCTCATATCATCTATTACACATCCTTTCATCCCAATTCCCCATGATGGGCGAATCTTAATGTTAATATAATCATAGGACTGGGAAAGGCCTAACATAAACAAAGGGATTAAGTAATCCAAGTACATAAATTGCTAAAAAGCAAATTGTCAAATGCAAAAAGTATAGAAAACAATGAAAACTGCCCTATGCAGCTATCAAAAATGTGAAAACATAAGAAAGTGAAATCATTCTGCACTTGACCACTAGATGGAGATTTTGCACTGAACTTATTTTTAGAACTATAAATGAAAAATCACATTGAAGAGTATAAAGATTACTGAAATATGGCTAACAGTTTATGGAGTATACAAACAACCTTATAATTCACTTGCGCATTAAAAACCTCAGGTATTATCAGGCACATAATCCAACTTTACATTTTTTGTAATCCACTATTACTCAGTATATATCTTCTATATATAAAATATGCAATGCCAAAAATATTACTAAAACAATTAAAAGTAGTGGAACCATGTTATAATGTACTTCATTATAACCCAAGTTCGCTTATAGTGCGATTGGAATGTAGATCATGTACTTCACACAAGGAAGCAACATTGTCAGCAATGATGACCTGAACGCTGGCCATTTTGACTTCCCATGCACTGGCCAGTGTTATGAAGTGCCAATAGAGCCAGAGCTATATCATCATTGCACCACTTGTGATTTTCTGAACCCTAATTATCTTTGGATTTAAAATCTTAAAAGTATCTCAGTGAACACAAAAGATTCAAAAAGCTCTGATGAACAGAACATATAAGCATACAATCATACCTTTTTTGTGAAAGATAGCATTAAGAAACTTGTCTGCTTGGCATTCAAGTTGTTCAGTGTTGGACTGCCCCTGAGATGGAGATTCCTCAGTAGATGTCTGTGTTGCACTCATAGAAGAGACATGCTCCTAGTAATAGTACAATAGAGTATGTATATTAAAATGCTTTCAATAAAGCATTACAAAATAAGATCAAACTCACTTTGAAATAACAAGAGTACATATAAACATACAATCACTCCCCTCCTGATTAAAAGAATAGACCAACCCAGATCTTCTTTGCCTAGCTCTATCGTATTTTTAGCTCACACATTCTTTCAGGTTCATAATGTATATAAAAGTCTGCTCAAAACATGCTAACTGTTCCAATTCAGATATCATAAGTAGAAATATATTACACCTTTATATGCTATAAAAGTTCTATGATTCCACAGCTTTTCAAAGGAAATTTTTCAAATGTTTGATAAACCAGGGCAGTGGGACTAACATAGATAGCTCCTTCAGAAAGGTAGCACCGGCACAATGGCTTTCTGTGCTACATGTAAGCAGAAGCTCAAAAAAGGATTACCTACCTTGTAAGATCTTTATTTTTAGAATGCAAAGATCATCCACACTACTGTTAAGCACAGATCACTAACAGGAAGAATATTTTTGACATTGCCCATCAAGCCCCACCCCGCTAGGTATTTGCAGCTCCACATGTTCAGCACCTTTGGACATCCTCCTGAAGTGAAAGGCGCTATACAAATGTAATTTTTTTGTTGTTCGTAAAAATATTCAGCATCAGCAGAGATGCCATCCTTCACATTAGATGTTAAACAGAGCCCCATCTGGTTGTTTTGGTGGATGTTAATGATAAATTAGAAGGGATGAGAGAACATTTTTTTCCAGTGTTCTGGCCAAGACAAATTGGATATTCACTGCATGGCTGTTTGTGTGACCTTGCTTATGAGTAAATTGGTTGCCATGTTTGGCTACAAATAGTTACTTCACAATAACGATTAACTGAAACACTGAAATGTTTCGAAACAACTCCTATATCAATTACAAGGATTATTAAGAAATAATTTATAAAACAATAGCAAATGTCTGCATGAGGAAATACATGAACTGATCTTTCTGAATAAGTTGTACATATCTGTTTTTGCTGGTATTGCACTTCTGGTATGGAAAAGCGACATGCTGCTAGTTGGTATGCAGCACACAAGATTCTACTGTACATAAAATTTGGGTAGTGACCTGAAATCCGCAGTGTTTTCATTACCCAGAGGACACACCATTAGTGCTCATGTCAATCCCTACTGTAAGAACGTGTGCTAGTTAAACAGTTTTGGCCTTACCTTGACTTTTTCTCTTCGTAAGTAACAAAATGAACAGTTTTCATTCATAGACCAGTCAGTCACTTCTTCAGGTTCACAGTCTTAAAATAAAATGATAACAAAAGTTTATATACAAAAATATATGGATCATAAAAATCCTGTATCTAGAAATATAGCACAAAACTATTTTCAAGTACTGAAAAGGTATTCTGCAACTCCACATTCATATCAATTGTCACATAGATAATATGTATTCTCAGCTATTTTGTTGTCTATTGTTTCTCTCCTACAAACTATTCTCCATTACGCACTGGAGAATTTTCACTCTTTTATCTTTCCTACTATATGATTCCACAAGAACCAACTGCCCTCAGGTACAATGCAGCTCTGCTATATTGTGTTTCATTAGAGGGTGGTATCAGATACTATGTGGTTGAGGTATGGCCCCCAAAATTTTCTTATCTGAAAATCACGACACTGCATCGTCCAAATCGGTCCTCTATATCAAAATGCCAGCTGAAAGCACTTTTGGTGCAATTCAATACGAGTCAGCACACTGCAACATGTTCAGCCATTGGTGCTGAAAGCTTAATGACTGTTTGAGTGGATATCAAATACAGTCATCGCTTGCGTGTCAAAGGAATCAGCTGGCTATCTGTGCGCATGTGCAGTGAAGTCACCAGGCATGTGATCAGTGACTTCAATTGCATGTCTCCAGGTCAGTTTAAGATTTGATGGATCTCACGTTCTGCATTATAACGGGGTTCCATTGTACATCTGCCAACAGCTTCTCCTCCTGCTGCCTGACTGTCACGTGCAGCATTCCTCAGGGGTCTAACCTCGGTTCTCTCCTGTTTAACATCTACATGCTCCCACTCACTATGTCACCCGTAGGCATGAGGTTAACTTCCACATGCATGCGGACGACGCTCTCTCCCTCCACCTCGATTCCAGAACCTCTCCGCTGTTCTGACTGATTATTTGCCAGACATCTAGTCCCGGATGAGAGTTAACTTTCTCTCGTTGATTGTCGACTTGACTCCCATCAGCATCTTGTCACCTCAGGTGCAGAGAGCCTCAATAATAATAATAATAATAATCCTTGCATTTGATATAGCGCTTTTCACGTCAGGAGGACGTCCCAAAGCGCTTCACAGAACACACTGTAAAGTGAATTGACTGTATATTTGTGGGCGAACGCGGCAGCCAATTGCGCACAGCAATGTCCCACAAACAGTCGTAGATTGAAAATGACCAATTTAATTATTGTTTTTTTTTTGGAGGGATTATTATTAGGCTCTGTGTGGAGTAAGGAAACTTGCCCAAGGTTTCGCCCTCTGCCTGGAATTGAACTCAGGTCTCTCTTTTTGGATGCGCTTCCACCTCGTGAAACTAGTGCGGAACCTGCAGACCTCTCATCGACAAAAAAAATCAAAATTTGTAGTTAGCTATAAATGGCCTAAATTTGTTTTTAAACAGAAAGCACAGTGCATGACTGCTTTAAGTTAATGTTGCAATTTCAGTCTGATACACTGGTCACTGAAATTTGACAGCTTTGCTACTCATTTTAAGGGAAGACACAAAGCTGGGAAATGAAAAATATACCACAATGATGTTCAATTGGACTTGGAACTAATGCAACCACTTACCTAACCATGTACAATGTTACACAGGGAGATTTTGGGCATTATATGAAGTTTGTGAACTATAAAGAACATACAGGATTAAGCTAAAGTACAAGAGGAGCAAACCAAGCGAAAGTGCTTTGAAATAATTTGTCAGCAACATTAAACATTAGCATTGATAAGCTATCACATAAGCTTATTGCACAGAATTAAGGCAAATCTGGCCATATGGAAAGAGATGATTCAAGGGCAAAAAGCAAGTACAGGCCTGACTCTCTTGCTATAGCAGTTGTACTGTGGATCCATACTATATTAGAAATGCACCATACATCTGGTGCTGACTGACCTACATCCTGCATAGGAAGCGACATTAGCTGCCCGACTGGCAGCTGTTTGCACATCTAATTACAACGCAAGTTTGAGCTTATGGACACAAAGCACCATGTTATAACCGAGTCAACCTAAACCAACGCACTGTAACGGGTGTAGGAGTTGCTGTAAGGCGGATTTTGAAGGTAGGGAGAAAGGGGACAAGTTGAATGGAGTTCCAGAGAGAAGGGACAGGATGGTTGAAAGCTCACCTACAAGTTCAGGGAGTAGGCCAATACAATAGTTGATCCTGGGATCATGAGGGTCCCAGCAGCCTGGGAGGAGAGGTAGTGGAGGTGGGCAATATTATGGAGTTCGGGAAAGGGAGAGCGAGAGGGAGCCTTGGATGTAGGGTTTGAAGGATAGTTGGGTGTTGAACAAGGCACTGTGGTTCTGAACTGGCTCTCTGAAGTGGAGTGAGCATCTGTGAAGGTGAATGGGGTCAGTGCTGAAGTGAATAGGAGAACATTAAGCTGTAGAAAAGTTAGAACTCATCCAGGACTTGATGCCTGACAGGCAATCAATCAGAACAGCAGTGGTCTTGGAATTGAAGGTAGAGACAGAGAGACAGTTGAGCATGGACTCGATGCTTATGGATGATGCCAATAAAGGGAGCATACAGACGGTATATTCTCTCTGTATAAAACAATCTGAACTTAAACTGAGGGAACAGTAACAAAATGTGTTGACAAATTGTTGTCATGGCAAATAGTGACAAGCAAAAAGACAAATAGGTTAACAAAAAGACCAGATAGCTGGTAAATGAGTTTGGTAAAAGGAATGAGAGAACATACATTAAATAATGAGATTTTAACTAAGTAGAGAAGCAAATGGACCTTTCTTCACATGAATTGGCAAGATGCAAGTAAGATTGATCTGGGCACCAAAAAGAGAACAATCCTTGATTTTGTATCAAGATGAATAATACAAAAGCAAAAAGGCAACATTAAACTTGTACAAAATCTTAGTTAGGCCAGAGTATTGCATAGTTTGTGGGAATCCCATTATTGGAAAGCTATAAAATAATGAAAAAAATGGGTTGTAGATCCACTAAGATGCTACACATATAAGGTTTCTTTCTTTTGGAACTGGCAGCTGTTGGTGCCCTGTCGATTGACTAACACCGTACAAACATTAACAACTATCATAGTAATCACCTGAATTAGTCTTAATGTGCATTACTTTAATATATTACCAGGGAAGAGGAGTTTATGTTCTGAAGAGAAAGTTGTGCTTTTTTTTACTGCAACTGAGAAGATAAAGGGGAAAACTTGCATTTATATAACAACTTTCAGAAAAAAACATCCATGCACTTTCCAAAATAGAATCGAATAGAATATGATACGGGCCTATGACAACTAATTGGTGCTACAACAACGAAGTAAACAATAGGATGAGTAGCGAATGAAGGTAAATTATGAATTAGGAGGGGGATTACAAGAGAAAAGACTCCATTTAACTTTGAACCATCAGACAAAAACTAACTTTAATACAATCAAAAAATGGGAATGATCATCTTCATCTTCAATTTGGTAAATAGTAATACATTATTTCCCCGATGAAGTACAAGTAGAGTAAAGGAATACAAGTATATGTTTGAAAAAAAATGGGACCATTGTAAAGCATGGGGAGTATACAGGACAGTGTAATTAGAGGAGGCAGCAAATGGAGAAAAATCTCAACACAGAATATGGGCCAAAAAACCCACTTCTGCGATGCACCATTCTAAGAATAAAGGAAGCTTTAGAAACTTGTAGGGAGAAAGTAGAGGGTGATCATTGCACAGACTACAAGACTTATCAGATGCAAGCTTTTTTTAAAAAAAGAGGGAAGCCAAGAGTAAACTCAAGGGGACACAGCAGCAGATTTAAAATAGATTGCTAAAAAAAAACCTCTAGTACTAACGGCAAGAGTGCAGTCAGGAAGGAATTGAAAAATCTCAATGGCAAGCTGTATGGTTTTAGTTGGTTAAACTCCAGCAGTACCGCAATGCACACTCTGGAGTCCCCAAGCCTTGGCTCTTGCTAACTTGCACAGAGTGTGCCCCTCCAGGGAGAGAGTGCACATTCTATTCCTGGTGCAAGGAAATTTCTATGTGCAATATATATGTAGAAGTGTGTCTGGTTTGGATACTCTTACTCTCACGGCAAAATAAGGCACCTAACTGCTGATCGGAAGGCTGAGGGACAGAAAGACACAAAGTTGGATCAAACTTTACAAATGAATGGGGGAGAAAGGGAAATAAGTTGGGACTGTGCAAAAGATGGAGGCACAAAATGGTACGATTGTGATAATACTTGATTGAAGCTTTTAATACTTCCATATTTTGTGTGATAACCAAATGTACACATTGTTTTCATATCCACAATTATCCCAATCAGTGCACATATTTGGGTCCCCATTGTATAACTAAATAACCTCTATTCCGAATGATTGCAAGATAAAATTTAGCTGGAGGAAGTGGGAAACTGGAAACAGAAGAGGGAGTCAAGATTTAATAAAATGTACAACAAAATATGAAGCCTGGGATAATCAATGGCAAATTACGTTCACACAGATGAATGCAAGGTACAGCATATAGAACAAGTACATACACTTGATTTAAAAAAAACTCAGTCTAATACCCAGAATTTCAAGTTTATATCAAATACACACTAACACTTCAATCTTACCATAATCAAGAAAAAAATACCTCCACATATTGATATTCAGAAAAATAAACATATTACCATCAAATAAACTGAGGTCTCTGAGTAGCCTTGGTCCATAAAGCCCTTCTAAGATGCTTTCAAACCCTGCAAAAAAAATACAATGTCAGCAAGGATCATAATGACTGCATCTAAATACATGCACAACAACAAACTTCAGCTGTGAAAGCTAAAGTGCCACTTTTTATCGCTAAATATACAAGTGATTTACATTGAATTTTTGTAAAGACTTCCATGAGTGAAACCTGGAATCAAGCGAGATTGATGTTCAGTTCGATTAAAGTTCACAAGAGAAAAGTCCCACTGGCAACAATTTACGGAGTGAGCAACAATCAAAGAGAAGGAAGTGAGCCGCAATCAAAGAATAAGGAAGTATGCAATTTACTGCTCATCATTTAGCCTCCACATTACAAATTAAATATACTGATACACTGGTATGTGATTAATTGATGACACCCACGTGTACAGCTCAAGATTACAAACATTTTGGCACTACTATTAAAGCAGTAATTTTTTTTAAGTGTACATTATTCTTTGCAACACCTTGAGGAGAATGTTATTGCAAAAATTGGTTGATGTAGTAATAGCACAAGTAAATTGATTTATGTACTCAACTCTTTATTCCTGACCAACTAATTGCACAAAATCAAATACAATTTATTTTGCCAGATAGTGTTTGCAATATCCAATGACAGAGCTCCTTTGTTTAATCTATAAGGCCTCACTTTTGGCACGGGTTCACAACTGCAGTCAGTTTACTGGACGACTTTCTAAAAGCTACATGCACATACAGGAAGCTGGCCTGCTCACACCAAAGGTGATAACCTGGAAGCGGGACCAGCAGCCATTCCCCACCACCCAAACACTTATAATATAAACGCTTTCTTCCACCTCCGCCACATTGGCCGTCTCCGATAATACCTCATCATAAAAGCTGTCGAAACTACTCTAACACCCTCCTCCACTCTTCACAAAATTCAGCTCATTCAAAACTCCACCGCCTGAATTCTCACCAGCATCAAACGTTATACTCTGATTTCTCCAGTTCTTGCCAAACTCCACTGGCTTCCTGTCACAAAGCAGCTGGACTTCAAGATCCTCACTCTAGTGTTTAAATCCCTCCATTCCTTGGTACCCCCCTATCCCTCTAAACTCCTCTCCTCACAGGAGTACCCTCTGCCTCCTCTCTACTGGGTCCAGCCTCCTCCATATCCCCCAAATCCTCCGCTCCACCATGAGCAGCCATGTCTTCAGCCACTACACCCCGAAACTTTAGAACTCCCTCCCTCAACCCCTTCGCGTTGCCCCCTCCTTCCCCATCTTCAGGTCGCACCTGAAGAGCTTCCTCTTCAACCAAGCCTACGGTCACCTTCCACCTCCCCCTGGCTCAGCGTCGGGCTCCGCCAATGTCAAGCGCCCTGAGACACCGCCTAGCATGGAGGGCGCAATATAAATGCAAGTTGTTGTAATGTGGTGTTCACATGGACATGAAACTCAAAGTTACAACAGCGTTGTCCTGTAGATACATTCAGGAATTCTTACACCAAAAAGAAATATGTGGTGGCAGGTAAAAGTCAGGGTAATTTCTGAACAAGCAAACCATAACTTGTGGTGAAATGTAACCAGAGAAGTTTGAAATTTGTGAAAAAAGACAATGTTTATTGGATCGGGATACAGCAAACAATTTTTATATGAAAATATTTTAAAGCTGTTAGAATTAGATCATTATTTGAGCCATTAGTGGCAATGGCTGGTGCTAGACAATATTTCCAGAACAATTTGTAGAAACAACTGCTACAAACTGAGGCCCCATGTGCCTGTTCAGGTGAACGTTAAAGATCGCCCGAAATTATTTGAAAAGAGAATGGAGTTTCTCCCAGATCCCGGCTAAAAATCCACAAAACTGGTTGTTCACTTCATGGCCATTTGTGGGACTTTCCTGTGCAAATTGGTTGTTGTGTTCACCTACAAAACAGTTACTGCATTTTACAGTTTATCCTGTAAAGCACTTTGGGCCATCATCGTGACGTGAAAGGTGCTATACCAAATGTAAGAATTATTTCAATGCACAATGCATGGATTTCAAAATGATTAATATTGCTTTGAAATTAGTTATGCTTGCATTAAAATCCCAAACCTACATCTTTCAAATACTTCTGAGCCTGTGCTTTAGGTACAAAGTTATACTGATGAAGTAAACCAGTACAAAAGGGTTAAACTAATGCCTGACGTAGCTGGTTACGAGTCATATTCAACAACTTTTGGAACAATAAATGCAACAGCATTTCAGCAGGTTTTACTTTCAACCAATGAAAAATCAGGTATTAACATTTATATGAACATTTTATTACATTCTACAAATTATGCAAAGACATTAACTGTCAAGACCAATTATTGCTAAATAAGCCTTAAATATGTCAGTTTATCTGTGTAGGCATGGGACACAATTTTGACAGACTCGCATATTGGTATCATTAACATAGCAATATACATTAATTCAATACAATAGCTGGCAAGCATATAAACTGTAAACACAACAGGATGAATTGTAAATACATTAAAGCACACATTGTGGAGGACACAGGTCAGCTTCCTATGTTCTGCAGCTTAGGCCAAGTCTGGCTTGGTGGTAGGAATCATCAATATGTCAAAAGGGTTTGGATGAAAACCTCACATTGGGGACTTTATTCCTCCCAATCTAGGTTGAGACTGCAATGTAGTGCTTCAAAGAGCTGCATTGTCAGAGGTCCTGATGAAACAAGGTCCCGCCTGTCTGTGCCAGTGAATGTTAAAGATCCAATGGCACGTTTTGAAAAGAGAAGGAAATTTCTCCTGGCCAACAATCCACTAGATAAAATTGGTCATTTACGATTTGGTTGTTTGTGGGACATTGGTGCACACAAACTGGCTGCTGTTTCCACCTAGAAATAGTCACTTTGCAGTAAATGTGATGCACTTTGAATTCTTTTAATGGCACGACAAGGCGAAACATCAAATGCAAGGATTATTAGCAATACAATTCCTTTAAGAAACAATTCCTTGAACAGTACAATAAGAACCTGCATTTTTGTAAAGAAACACAGCATTTTTCAGGTAATTAGCACCAAGCATAATGACTGTTTTGCAGTAAATGCGGCAGCAGGACACGACCAGCAGCCAGGAGGTAAATAACCAATTTATCAGAAGGAGTCTTGGCCAGGGATCCAAGCGTTCGTTTTTTTCCTATAGTTTTGGAATCCAAAGTCCATCTGAACATGGAAATGAGACCAGTTTGACATCTTACATAGGTACCTGAAGTGTTGCTTAGACCTTCAAATAGGATTCCCTTTGAACTGGAAAGGATATTAATTCTAGTTACTTCCTATGCAATTATCTAAGAATTACTACAAGATAACATTACCAAACAACAGAACAGTTGCTGCAAAAGCCAGCTACTCTTGAATGATGTGTACAAATATCAAAGTAACACTCAAATTACAGTAGTTTTACATATCAAGCAAAAGGTTTGATTACCAACTAATTGTTAGACGTCAGTTAACCTGCATTTGAACTCTTTAATTCCAAATGATTGATATGAATAAGCATGGAATCTACAACAACAAATTGCATTTATATGGCGCTCTTCAAATGGGATAGCATCCCAGAGCTCTTCACTGTTGGAGTCCGGCAACGAGCCAGGGGCAGAGGGAGAATCAAGATGTGTACTGCATATAAAGTTAAAACAAAATTTTAACAACCACATGAACATTTTTTGCATGTGATATACAGCACAACCCATTATAACGTGGTGGTCTGGACCCATAACATCAGAACCCCCTCCCATACACGTTAAAGCAAAGCATAAAATACCCGCATTCTGGTTTATCAGTTCGGGTTGACATCACTGTGTGGGCAAAATAAAGTCAACAGGACTTACTGGGTATAACTCAAATATGTAGTGCACAGGAAGTGAGAATAGCGACACTTCCCGTACATAGTGTGCAACATGCATAAGAAGTCAATGGCAACCCAATGACCCAGAGGAGCGGCCTTTTGTTTAAGCAAACAAAACCAGCTAATCAATGTCAGAAGCCCCGTGTTAAGATATAATGCGGGTCCACAGTACACTTGCACTATAAGTAGACCAACCAAAAAAAAGGGGTCATTAATAGGTTTGCCCTGTACTCAAACATTATTTAAAATCAGTTTTCCCTTTATTTTGCTTTATTGAAAATAGAATCACAACTATATTTTTAACTCAAATTTATATTCAAAATTAGAATTAACATTTATATATCACTATGACATTTCACGTCGGAAGCAATGGTTCACATGTCATCAACAACAACACTACATTTGCATAATGCCTTTCGTGTCAGGAGGATGTCTCAAGGCCCTGGGCAATCAGTGTTTCGGACCAAACTGGGGGCCAGGATCGGGGACGATGGAGGGCAGTGGGGAGGATGGTGACCAAAGGCACAGTTGAAGTGGAGGGTCTTGAGAAGGGTCGTGAAGGAGGCAAAGGTGGGGCCGAGGCGGAGTAACTGCAGGATGGAGTTCCAGAGGGTGGGGGCAGAGTGATTGAGGGCCCACCCTTTGTGGGGCAGATAAGGTGGGGGACGTGAAGCAGGCCAGAGACCGCTGTGTGGAGGGGCGAGCAGGTTGGTAGGGGTTAGGAGGTCGCAGAGGTAACAGGGAGCAAGACCATGGAGGGCTTTTAAAGTGAGGACTAGGATTTTGAACTGTGTGATGGGAAGCCAGTGGAGTCGAGCGAGGATGGGGGCGATAGGGGCACAGAGCCTGGTGCGGGAGAGGACACGAGCTGCAGAGTTCTGGATCATCTGCAGTCTATGGAGGGAGGAGTCGGGCAGGCCGACAAGCACGGAGTTTGCGTAGAAATATTAAGTGTGAAGCATTGCTCCGACCCAAACATTTTGAACATGGTTGTTTTGAGCAGTCTGTAGAAGTTCCCAATCGTCAAGTGTCACTCCTCACCTAAATTCCTAGGACATCATATTTTTAATCTGTGCATCACCTAGAAATTTGGGAGCGCTAAGGTATTGAGAGCACTCCACCCCCCCGATCAAGTTTCCAATTACAAATAACTG